GATTGTTGTGGGTTTCCAAGATTCCTAAAACCCCTGCTGCCTTCATTGTTGCAGAAAGTTGGTTCCCTTAGGCTTCATCAGGGAGCAGTATGATGGCAGCTTGCACATGAAATGGGGCTGCTTGGTATGGAGCTGAGTGTGAGTGTAAGTGCGAACCACGTGCCAAGGGCTTAGTATTAAAAAAAAAAAAAAAAGAGTAAACTAGCGTTTTAATTGACTATAGCCGGGCGGTGGTGGCGCACGCCTTTAATCCCAGCACTCGGGAGGCAGAGGCAGGCGGATGTCTGTGAGTTCGAGACCAGCCTGGTCTACAGAGCTAGTTCCAGGACAGGTTCCAAAGCCACAGAGAAACCCTGTCTCGAAAAACAAACAAAACAAAACAAAACCAAAAAAAACAAAAAAAAAAAAAATTGACTATATACTAAATTGCTATTTTAGGCATATTATACTAAGTATCTATTAAAATTAGTTTTACCTGTTTCTTTTTACTTTTAAAGATGTGGCTGTTAAAAAATATTCATGCCAGTGGCTTGCACGGTATTTGATTGTACCCATCCTGGACTGTGGCATGCTCATTTTCCCTGTCCTAGCACAGAGCCTCAGCCACAGTTGGCAGTTAGTAAATACTTGTTAAGGAGCCAACCCCAACCCATAATACTGAGGTCTTAGGAATGAGTGGAGCCTCCCTCTATTGAGAATGTCGGCGTTTGAAAACCAGACACATTGAGGAGTAAAGAGCAGAATTCTTGCATCTGCGAGAAAATGCTGAAATAAAGATCTCAGGGCCACCGTTGCACAGCTTACCTACCCACGGGAGAGGGGGGTGGCTGTGCCAGGCCAGGCCCAAGAGGAACTGATGCTTTATGTGTGCTGTTGAGGTAGACCAGTCAGAAAGGTTCTAGCTGCTTAATTTGCCTTGACCCAGTTTAGGTGACACTCAACTGGAAGCCTGGTGCCGCCGCTGGGCCTCCTGATTACAGTGTTTCGTGCCTAAGACATCTTTTACCAAGTTTGTTGTTGTTGTTGTTAATGACTTACCACTTTAATCTAACCAAGGTATAATGTGGCTTTTGTCTGTGGGTATAGTTAAGTCCCTCAGAACTGTGTCACTGAGAGTTGCATAATCAAGGTGGATGGGCACACTCTGATATGCCACTTCAGAAAGGATCAGCTTGTCTCTGCAAGTGTTTATTGAGAGCTAGCTGGCACCCCAGGCATCCTGTTCCCTGCTAATAGAACACAACTGTTAACTACTTCTGGTCCCCAGAGATGAGGTGGATTAAAGTGCTGCCCGAGGAAAGTGCCGTTTCAATGGGTTGTTAGAGGTGAGGGTGCAGCCCTCCCCTGACCTTTAAAGAGTGGGTTCTAAAGAGACAAGACCACTGTTTCTCCTCTGCCCTTCTTGATGGTAGCAGCACTCAGCTTCCTCCTGTGAAGTGCGACTCCACCACCTTTTCTCTCCATCCCGAAATCCCCTCTTTGTGGAGAACTCAGGAGCTCAGGTCCCTACTTAGCTGCTTTGGCTGCCGCTGCAGGCTCACACTAATCGCAATCACAGCGGGGTTTGTTTTATGAACCTGAAAGATCCCTGTTCCCAGGAGGCTGAAGTTCCTACTGCTGCGGAGCTACGGAGTTTTCTTGGAAGCCTGCTTCCTTGAAGGTGAAGCTACCCCCCTTTCTCTTCCCACACTAAAGCATCCATCTTTTTTTCTTGAGGTCTCGTATGTGGAGACTCCCCTCTTCCCTTTAAGGTTAGGACAGTAATGACAATACTAGGTTTTTATACTTAAGGAAATTGGGTATGTGCCAGGGAGACTCCGAAGAGAGTGAAAAGTAGCAGGGGGTACTCTACAAGTGGAACTGTGGTTCTCCTGAGCACCATCATCTGCTCAGACTCACTGAAGCCCCCCGGCATGTAGAGCCAGCAAGATTCACATGGACAGAGAATGACTTTGCACCCCTACCGCGGTGCAGTCCAGTGGCAGTCACAAGGCGAGATGTGTGATGTCCATGATGAAAGTTTGTCTGCTATTACCAGACACCTTAGCAGGGTGTTGGTGAGCACAGCAGTTTCTTCTGTTTGCTAGTAACAATCCACATTGCACTATTACACTATCGGTAGGTGCAGTTGTCATTGGAGAAGGAAAAATTCATGAAGGAGCCCATCTCAGGTGTCTTGTGGGGAAGACGGAAGTACCTGGATTGCCTCATCACGGTCGTTTTCTTTATTTGGGACTGTTAGACTGTGGAGTGCTTTCCCTTTAAATGCAGCTTTTTAAAGTCCACAAGGAAAAGGGTTATAGTCCTCATTTGCATTTTAGGAAGCGAAGGCCTAGGGAGGCAGACCATGTGCCCAAAGTTGTACTAGCTGAGCTAATCGGTGAGGAGATAGGGCACCATGGTGTCTGCCATGGTGTTTCTCCTCAGCTTTGAAGCCCATTTTAGCAGAGCCCTGCTTTATTCTGTACTAGTCAGACTCAACAGTAAGACTCCTGTGCCCTGCGGTGGCAGAGGAACAGTGAAGCTCCAGTTCCGTGGGCTCAAAGCTTTTCCACCTTTCATATGCTTCGCTTCTGGAACGTTTTATTGTTGAAACATAATTTGAGGCTGGAGAGAGAGGAAGGAGGCTTAGTTGTTTCAAGCATGCTCTGCTCTTGGAGAGGACCACGGTCAGGCCCTAGCACCCACAGCTTACAACCTTCTTCAACTCCAGCCTCTGGGCTCCTACTCTGTCTTCCACCCTGTGGGCATTTGCACTCAATGTGCACAAATATACATTCAAGCATGGAACTAAAAACTAATGAAATATTAAAATGTCCTTGTGTGTGTTATATTCCGGAGTATGTGTGTGCATGGAGGTCAGAGGAGGTGTCCTGTTCTCTCTCTCTTATTTCTCTGAGTCAAGGCGTCTCACTGGACCTGGAGTTAGGCTGGCAGTGAGCCTCTTGTCTCTGCTGGGGTTACGGTACCTGTGCAGCAATGCCCAGCTGTTTCTCAAGTGTGTGCTGAGCTCTGAACTCGGGTCTTCATGCATGTGAGCATGTGAGCATGAAGCACTGATATCTACTGAGTCATCTCTTCAGCCCTGATTTTTATTTTTTTTAATTGACAACTCTGTATGGCACAATGTATTCTGATACATTGAAGGGAGCAGGCAAAAGCACCTTGGCCTGAATACTGCCATTTTGACTTCAGACTTTATTTTACTTGCAGAATAAAATAAAGTTTAGGTTCCCAAGCCCTAGGGGAGCTGGGAACTTTCCAATGGCCGATCATCTCTAATTCACAGAAATAGTCATTGTGCAGCTTTCGTTCTTTAGAAACTTTATGACTGTTCTTAACAACAAAAGGAACTAACGAATCTGACGGTCGGAGTGAAAGGTTTGCATTGTATTTTGGTTGACAATGATGGGACATTCAAGAAAGCCTGTGATCTCCAAATCCTGATTGGTGAAAATTGTAACTAACTTGACAGCAAATGTTTGTGATTTTTGTGTTTATAAACCCCACTTCTGCCCCTGCTCAGGACTGTCAGGAGAAATAAGGCTTCCAAGTCCTTGTCCTACAGCCCTGATCGATCAGTGACCCGCTTATGTAGTGAATCATTAAAATCTTTGGAACCCATCAGTGTTGTCCCTCTCCTTCCTTATGGCACATAATAGGCTAAGTGTAACAATATGTTGCAATATAGAATGATTAAATCAGGAGAATTAACAGATCTATCACCGTCTACTCTTTGTGGCAAAAATTTAAAATATTTTTTTTTCAAATTTGAAGGATGCAGAGTGCTAGTATGTGTTGCATGTACCATTTGCTCACTAAATGACTAAAGCTAATTCTTCAGTCATTCCCAACCATTCTTCTAGTCACTGCTTCTGAGTTCTTTTCTATGAATGAGATTATGTGCTATTTCACTTAGCACAGTCTTCCAGATTGACCAGTTGTGATATATGCCCACAGTCATATTGCCAGTGGCAGCCTTTCTTCCCCCGGCGAAGTGGGACTCCAGAGAGCACGCCCCACATTTCTCTCATCTGCTGATGGGCACCTTGCTCCTGTCTCATGGCTCTCATTGCTACACTGTGCGTTTCAGTGCAGGAACCTCTCTGCAGACTGACTCTACTTCCTTTGGAGACCACCGGATCATATGGCGGTTGTTCTGTTTTCAGTTTTCTGAGGAGCCTCCATACTGTTCTCCATAACGGCCATGTTAACTCACATGCCCACCAGCAGGACACTCTCAGGACTTCCTCTACTCCACTCCTCCTTAGCTGTTCAAACAGATGATACCCCATGGATTCATTTGTGTTTCCTGATTAATAACATTGGGACTTTTCCCTCTCCTTTATCTCTTAGCCATTTCTGTATGTTCTCTTGAAGAGTGGCTAACCCTTGCCTGGCCTCTGGCCATCTGTTCTCCTGCATAGTAGAATCTGAAATCCAGCAGACTTGGAAGTATCTATGTATCAGTCTCTGTCTGAACTGAGGAGCTGAGAAAAAGACCTTGATAGAAGATGTGTGCTGAAGGGTGGAGGTTGGGGATTGTATTTTACAAGGAAAGTGAGCCTGTCTCAGTGTCCCCATGTCAAAGTGACCTTTCCCCTTGTGATTTCTATACACACCGGGAATCTTGGGAAGTGGTACAACCTCATAAAAAAAAAAAAAAAGGTCTGTTGGTCACAGTGTGTTTGCAAAACCATTGAGTGTCTGAAACGTCACAGAGCTAGCCTCACTGTTCTGTGGAAAAGGTAAGCTGTGGCACTTAGCTGTCGGGACCCTTGGATGCTTTTAGATGTCTATCCTCTCCTGCACACCTTCCCCCACTTCTGAGACAGGGTTTTTCTGTGTAGCCCTGGCTGTCCTGGAACTCATTCTGTAGACCAGGCTGGCCTTGAACTCAGAGATCAACCTGCCTCTGCCTCCTGAGCACTAGGATTAAAGGTATGCACCATGTTTCTTTTCCAGCTCTAATGCCCTATGTTTCTTTTCTTTTTTCTCAGCCCAACAGGGGCACGAAACGACCCCGGGATGATGAAGAAGAGGAACTAAAGACACGTCGCAAGCAGACTGGCCCTCGAGAACGCGGTCGCTATCGTGAGGAGGAGGCCACAGCAGCTGAAGAAACAGACGATGATAAAAAAAGGCTGCTGCAGATTATTGACAGGGATGGCGAGGAGGAAGAGGAGGAGGTAGGAGCAAGAGCTGGGCAGGGGCCGTTGGTGTGACCCTGACATACCATCTGGGTCTTAACTGGGGACAGGATATTACCTTGAGCCTCCCAGTCTCATCTTTAAAATGGGGTTAAGAAATCCTGCATCAGAGTGTTGGGGCAAAGGTTGGGTGGAATCAAAGAGATAGAAAAGGATTTGCAGAGTAAGGAATGTTATGGGAACCAAGAGGAAGGATGACTAGTGTTGACAGGAGAAAGACAGAGAAAGCTTCTTGTCCTGCCATTCTGAGGACATGTAGAATACCCATCATTTTAAAATATAGTCCATAATCTAAAAGGAGTGTCAAATCCTATCAGTCACACAAGGTAGTAGGGCTTTTAAGAATGAAGTTTAGGGGGCTGGAGAAATGATGGCTCAGTGTTTAACAGCACTCACTGGCAGCTCTTCCAGAGGACCTGGGTTTAATTCCTAGCACCCACATAGCAGCTCATAGCTGTCTGTAACTCCAGTTCCAGGGGCTCTGACACCTTCACATCAATGCGTATAAAATAAGTTTCAAACCAAAAAAAATGAAGTTTAAAGTACTATTAGATTAGATATGTGAGTCTTGTTTTAGCTTGGTGGTTTATGCTTATAGTCGAAGCTCTCAGAAGCTGAGTGGATCGCTTGAGCCTAAGAGTTCAAGACCATCCCTGACAATATAGCAAAACCTTCTTCAGAAAAACAAAGCAACAGTCAGTCCTACAACAGTTGAAGGAAGGCAATACCTTTGGGCTGTTCTATTCAGTCTTACCCTGTACCTTTGAATAATATCCCTTTATGCCTGATGTGCCTGGGTTCTTCCCTGTAGGTCTAGTGTAGCACAAATTCTAATTGCTCTTAACAATAAAAATCCGGAGTTAGATATTGGAATAAAAGCTGAGAGATCAGAGAAGCAGAGCAGCCGGCCACTAGAGTTCTTACCTCTACCAATGCTCAGACCAAAGGGGCTAGCCTGTCCTCAGACTACATCCTCAGACTGCTCTGAACTCCTGTCTCCTCCCACCTTACTTCCTCTCTCCACCCAGCTATATCACTCCTGTCTCCACCTCCCTAGTGCTGGATTAAAGGTGTGAGCTCTGTTTCTCTTTTAGACTAGATCATTTTTTGTATAGCCCAGAATGACCTTGAACTAACAGAAAAGTCTGCCTCTGTCTCCCTAGAGTCCTGGGTTAAAGGTGTGTTTCACCACTGCCTGGCCTCTAGTGGCTTAACTCTGCGCTCTGATCTTCAGGCAAGATTTATTTGTTAAAACACAAACAAAATATCAGTACAGTCTGGGTCAGGTGAAATCCTCCAAGAATCCCATCCCATCTCCTAGGTGGCCCTGCAGGCCGTTCTCAGACTCTCTCCTCACTTGATTCTGTATGTAGTCTTCACAGCATGAGTCGTGGTCTGAAACCCTTATTTGTCTCACATTTGCTTTCCTCCCTTGGCCTCCCATGAAATGGCCCGACTCTGTTGTGTTCACAGCTATGTCTCTGGCACTGAGGGCAACATCTAGCTCTTCCTAGGCCCTAATAAATATTTATGGAGTGAGTAAATGAATGGAGCAGAGAAGCACAGAGGTAAAATATCAGCGATTAAAACAAAATGGCCTCACCTTGTGTCTTTTTAAATCCTTAAGTGCTAACTTATATGCGGTTTCACTCTGGCATTTTGTTCAATATGAATTATGGAAATGGATTCTTAAGAGCCAGCTGTTTTTTAGTTCCCTCAAAGACATGATGCTAAGTTTGGCTTTTGAAAAGGAGGCAGGAGCATGAATCTGAGAAGAAGAAAACAATTTGTATTCCAAACAGGTCTTTTCTATGTTATGACAATAACGCCTTCTTCCCAGGGGTCTGGACCAGTACTGTCTGAGGTTCTGCCCCTAAAATATATTGGCACTTGGGGAGTCTGTAGGATAGAGCCCTTAGTTCTGAATTGTCTCCCAGAGCACAGCCTCGAAGGGCTTACAGAGTGTGTAGCTGACGCTCGTCCCTTAGGCTTCTGCTCAGTCTGCTCACCCTATAGTTAATTGGAAGGTAGAATTCCTGTGAAGATGGTTTTGGGGGACAGTGACTGTCATGGGTAGGTAGTTTCCTGCCTGGGAGACAGAAATGTAATGGGGGAACAGCCTTCCTGTAAGGGACAGGGACAAAGAAATCGCTTTGTAACAATGGCACACGAAAGGCTAAAAGTCCAGGAGTTATTTTCTCACTCTACCAAAGTCCCATCTGATGGAAAACAAGCGGTGCTTGCCTTGTGTCACGTGGGCTGTAAAATATTATTGTCCTTTTTGTACTACATCACCAGCATCCATCTCTCTGAAATCTCCCGCCGGTTTCTGACGTTGAGCTATTGGAGATGCTGCTGAGGCTGATGACTAAGACTGATAATCCGCTTCTCCAGTGTTGGAGAGGAATTGAGGAGGGAAGCCAAACCCTGGAGAGGCTGGAATGCTGGAAATCCCACAAGAACTGCACTCACATGAGTATAGTTCCCCCAGAGTGCTCAAAGTGTTGGCAAAGGAAGGGAAAGCAGTGGCTGTGAGGGAGGCTTGAGATTAGCCATTCCCTAGACGGGGCTCTGTTGCTTAGCCCCTCTCCGTGTGCTGGGTATACTGTGTCTCTCGCTATTAAGAACAGCATCATTATTCATTACTGGAGTTCACCAAACAATTTTATGTACACAGTTTATTCAGGTCATCTCTGTGACCTTGAAAGATCCAGCAAACATTTTCATTCCAGCCCTCCCTTCCTCCATTCAGCAGCTCTTTACTGGGTTCCTTCCGCGAGCCCGGCACTAAAGAATCAGCAGTAAGCAAGAAGGCATGGGCCATCTACAGGGTATTATGTCTGCCCTATTGTTTTTTAATTTAAAAATTTAATTTATATAGGTGTTTTGCCTATAGTGTAGGTACATGTATGGTGCCCTCAGAAGCCAGTAGAGAGCATTAGATCTCCTGGAACTGGAATTACAGACAGTTGTGAGCTGCTGTGTGGGTGCTGGGAATCAAACCTGGGTCCTCTGGAAGAACAGCCAGTGATCTTAACTGCTAAGCAGCCTCTCTAGCCACAATGTCTGCCCTGATCTGAAGTTGGAGCAGTTAGCTGGGCCAGATCCTTCCCGACTTTCCTTCTGTAGGCTACATGAAGGATTTGTGATTTATTCTAGACACTAAGGGAATGAATTTAGGAAAGACTGACGAGGCGTGAACTAGACTTGCTGGGGCTTTGAGAAATTTGTTAGTGAAGTTTTGTTGCTATTTGGTTGGTAAGGGGGAGCTGAGTCTCTGAGTCCTAACCAGGCCAGACTGACTTTGGTTTTCACTGTGTCGGGGAAGCCCTCTAGAACTGTAGACCTGGGAGGGTGAGAGCCCCACAGAATGCTTCCAGATCCCGAGGTTGATAAAAAACTAGGAAATGTGTCACCCTCAGAATGAATGTACAGGTTTCTCCCACTTAAAACCCAATATAGGAAGAACATTGAGATTTCATAATAAAATAATAGCTAGTATTTCTGAGTCCTTACAGAATTATAGGATGATTCAGTGCTTTCCAAAAGGATCTATTTCAAGTTCTCCTAAAAGCAGTTTCTTTATTGCTTTTAGGTGTGAGTTACGGCTATTACTACAGAGCAGAGAAACTGGAGTTGGCAGTGTTAGAGAGGCAGGGTGCCCTGCTACATTAATTTAAACTGGAAAGTGAACTGAAGATACATTTCTGAAATTTCGTATAGGTTGTATGTTGTGGGGGAAGATAAATGATTCAAAGTTTTAAAAAAAATTTATGTGTGTGTACGTGTGTGTACATGTGCACACTTAAGCGTGCAAGTGCGTGTGCTTGCATGTGTGTAGGTATAGGTGTTGGTGGAGGCCAGTAGAGGGTATCAGACCTCCTAAAGCTAAAATTATAGGTGGTGTTTTGCTAGCTGGTGTGGGTGCTGGGAACTGAACTCTCAGAATCTCTGAAGAATAGGAACTCTTAACCTTGGAGCCTTTTCTCCAGTCCCTCAATATATAATATTCAATTCATTTACTTCTTTTAGGTATCTCTGTGGTGTATGAAGCAAGACAATTCTGTGGTACTAGTTTTCTAATGCTTCCTCTGAGCTAGGTTACAGAAATGATTTATTTTTCATATTTAATATTTATTCATCTGTTTTACAACAGGGTCTCCCTAGATAGCTCTGACTGGCCTAGAATTTGCTATGTATACCAGGTTGGCCTTCGACTTGTGACAATCCCACTGCCTTTACCAGAATGTTGGGATTATAGGCATGTGATATCGTGTCCAGTTATTAATCTTCCTTCCTTCCCTCTTTCCCGCTTTCCTTCCTTTTTTTTTTTTTTTTTTTGGTCTTACCATCTTCATGTAGCCAGGCCATGCTCAAACTAATCCTCTTGCCACATCTGACTCATGGTTAACTAATCCTTGATGTGATATTAGCATTCCAAGGTACCTGTCTGTCCCTCCTCTCAGTGGCTAAGGAGGACTAGGCACAGAAACATGTGAAGGAAGCGATGTGTGTAGCGCCCCAACTGCCACTTGTCCCTTATGGGCTGTGCAGAAACAGGCACAGAGATCAGCTTTGGCCTGTACACTGGTTTGTGACCTGGTGCGAGGAAGAGACTAGAGGTCCCTGGCACTGACTTGGGTTTGATCTTTAGCAAATTCTTCTTAGTTTCTGACTCCTTGCCTGTGCATCAAAGGGACAAGATAAATGTTGGCTAAAAGTACCCAGCATTGTTGTTTACTCTGCACCCACAATGTTCCCGAGAAACCTTTGTGGATGAATCTTTACTGCCTGAGACGGAGCTTTCCTGGTGTAGAGGCAGGGCAGTAGCTGTGACACCCAGGATGATGTCCCTCACCACCGTTATGGTTGGGGACAAGGAGGCCCATGGCAGCAGGTGGACAGAGGAGCCATAGTGACAGTGAGTGAGTGTGCGATCCCTGACCACTGAAGCCGTTATCCTTGTTTCAGGAGGAGCCGCTGGATGAAAGCTCAGTGAAGAAGATGATCCTCACGTTTGAAAAGCGATCATATAAAAACCAGGAGCTGCGGATCAAGTTTCCCGACAATCCGGATAAGTAAGACTCTACTTTGCTGACACCCCTCTCCTGCATGTTAGCCAGTTTTCTGATTTGTTGAGTTTGCTGCTTGCTTTGATGGCTTTTTGTGACTTGATGAGTGTGGTCCATAAGTTTGGGAAGTCACTGGAAGGACACACAGGACTTGAGTCAGTGATGCTAAGGGCTATGGTTTATTACGACAGGAGTTCACAAAGGTGTTGACTGGTACAAATGCACATCTGCAGAGTCTAGAGAGATCTGTGTCCAGGCCTCCTGTTCCCTCGACTGGGGGAGGGCAGACAGACAGCACTGCCTCTTCCTGCAGTGTGCTGCACTGCTGTATTCTTGCCCTGGAGGCTGACCTGAGGACTGGGCAGGTCTGCATTCTCTGACAGCCACTGTCCAGACTTCAAGAATACAAGCAGCTGTGGGGTGTTACAGCTTGAGCCTGGAGCACCCTCAGCACTCAGGGACCAGCTCAGGCCAGCTCCCCAGCTGCTAGCAGGCTTCCTTAAGAGCGCCCCGACTTTGCTAGCTCTTTCTTACATCATTCCTTCCCAGGATACCAGCCACGACTGCCAGGTGAAAGCTTTATTGCAGCGGTCAGACAGGTGTACGTGGGGACCCCTCCCCCCAAGTAACCAAAAATGATCACTTCTTTCTTAGCCTCAGAGTCTCTTCTGTGTGAGGCAACTGTGTTGTTGGGAAGACTGAGAACAATGGGCAGCTTGCGTGTTGCACCCGCACCCAGTAGGTGCTCACGGTAGACACTCCTGAAAATGTTTTCTTACTGTGAGCTGCCATAGCATGGGATCTGGGATCTTTTCATCCTGAATCCCAATTAAAAAGGATTAAAGATCTGTATAGATTTTAGAGTTCTAAATCTCTGTTTTCTTCCCTGTCTTTCTCCCTTCCCAGATAAATGGTTTAATGAATTTTAATAGGCTCAAAGCCCTGAGGCAATTAAGAGTTGGATGGTAGGATCTTTGCATTCGAGTTGTAGGTTACTAGGGAGACTGACTATTAATGTGAGATAGAGGAAAATACACGGGTGGAGATGTAAGTAGGGTGCTGTGGGAGCATAGGAAGAAGGAGCGGGTGCTTTGTTGAGGGCCTCACAAGAAAGGTAGGGTTGGGGCTGGGCCTTGTGTTAGGCATGCAGCTAGCATAGAGTGAAAATAGTGTGGAGGGGATGGCTCAGATGGCAAAGTCCTGCCACACAAGTGTGAGGATTTAAGTTTTGAACGTGCAAACGCGTGTAAAGCTGGGTGGGTAGCATGGCTATAATCCCAGGGCTCCTACAGCGAGATGGGGGCAGAGATGGGCCAGCTAGCCTGGTCTGGTGTGCACAGCAGAGTATAAGAGGCTGTCTCAAACAAGTAAGAAGGTGATGGCAGCACCTTCTGTTGTGTTTTGGTCTCTACACATGCATTATGGCGTGTGTACAGGCACACCCAAATATACTTCCACACAGACACATGCATACATGCACATGCTTGAGAAGATGAGAAGCAGGGGAGGGAGAGAGAATATGCTAGAGGGTAGAGAGTTTTCACAGCAAGCCTGGGAGGCATTGGGACTCAGTAGTCTCCTTTTCTGTGGATGAAGGGATAGGGCAGGGAAAACCCAGCCCTCTGTGACAGCAGCTAGATCACAGACCAGCTTCCTGGCATCTGCATTATCTCTGGTGGTGTACTGACCTCCACTGCACAGCAGTTCACACTGTAGTGTATGTGTGCATGTGTGTGCATTTAATTACACAATTGTCACATAGACCGATACTATTGTAAAAAGTAGTTAGAATGTGTAAGTAGACTAAATAACGAAAGTCACTGCACCGTACGGAACCTCTATTGCCCCAATACCCACAGCTGTCCTTGTGACTGATTTTGTGAAGATCGCTTTAGACTGTTTGCTATACCCTGTTTTCTACTATACGAAGATTCAGCCTATACAAATTTGAGTTTATATAATAGGAAATGGCTGGTGCACTGTATTTCATGTTTAGGAAATCCCATGGTGTATTTAGTTATTTTTGCATGAATGGACTTTAGGTTATTTTAAGTTTTTTAAAATTTTATTTTATTTCATGTATATGCCTGTTTGTCTGTGTACCACATGTGAGCCTGGCACCCATAGGGTCGGGAAAAGAATTAGATCCCCTGGAAATGGAATGGCATATGGTTGTGAACTCCACGTGGGAGCTAGGAATTAAACCTGGGTCCTCTGAAGAACAGGCAGTGTTCTTAACTGCTTAGCCAGCTCTAGCAGTTTAGATTATTTTAAACATTGCTTTTATAAACAGTTCTAGGTAGACTTCCTTGTGTTTATACATGCCTTTGTGCTTGCATGTTCCGATAGGAATTCCTAAACGTTGAATGCTCAGACTGAAGGGGATGCAATTACAGTCTTTGAAAGCTACTCCAAGTCACTTGTTCTCTCCTTTCCTTCTCCAGCTGCATTTCCTTCCCAAGGACTCACAGTAGTCATGGCCACTCCTTAACACCTTTGCTGTTTATTTTCTTGTTCCTCCCTGTTAGACTCTTGCAACTGGGTGTAGATTGTGTCTCGTTTGTTCCTGTGGCATCGATGCGGTATCTGCGGGGCTGCAGGTGCTCAGTAAACATGAGAGTTCCGTGCAATCTTTGTCTTTTTTTAAAATATATATTTATTTATTTATTTATTTATTTATTTATTATGTATACAATATTCTGTCTGTCTGTCTGTCTGTCCTGCTGGCCAGAAGAAGGCACCAGACCTCATTACAGATGGTTGTGAGCCACCATGTGGTTGCTGGGAATTGAACTCAGTACCTTTGGAAGAGCAGGCAATGCTCTGAACCGCTGAGCCATCTCTCCATCCCCTCGTGCAATCTTTGTCATCTTTATTAAATCCCTATGGCCTGGAAGCCAGGGACCCCTCAGGAGGCAGCTGTGCTGCAGGTTGATAACACTGAAAATGTGAGATCTGATTTGTGCCCTGGAATGGCAGTACTGCCTTTGTGCCAGAGGCAGCCATCGCCCTGCGGTTGAGAGTGGTGTAGTCATGGCAGGTATGGCTGCTGGCCTCCCATTAGGTACCTCTGGTCTCTTGTTGGGCCATTCATTGATAAGCTGCTTTTCAGAAAGAGGTTTATGTTCTTTAAACAGTGTTTGCCATTCAGAAAAGACTTTTGTTTTTTGTGCTATTTTAAGTTTAGAATTTGAACATGTAAAAATTGAAATTACACTTAGTAACTTTTTGTTGTGTCAAAAAGCAGTTAGGAAACTATCTTGTGCTTTAACCCTGAGTTCTTGAATTCTTGCTGGCATGATGTCTTCCATAATTCACCAGATGAGTGAGGGTCAATTAAGATGAAAATTGCTCCTGTGTATTTGAATGAGACTTTCCAGTCTGAGATCAAAAACATTCCGATTTATTTTCCTGTACATGGGAGTGTCATTTTGACCGCATCCTCCCGGATGCTGTTCTGCATTTGGCTGTGGTTCGGCGGTGCTGACTGTCTTCCACCCACAGCCTCCTCGGCACTGTGATCTCTCTCCCAGACATCACTCTGAGCATGCTGCTCTGTGTACGCCTTCAGCTCTTCGCTTCCCTTTTCCAGGGACGGAATCATTTAGTGCAGCGGTTTCCAAGCTTTGTTTTTCTCACAGCCCCTTTGTGCTCTCTTGTGAGTACCCTAAACTGCTTTTCTTAAAACAATTGTAGCAATCACAAGAATATTCAAGTGTATATTCTTCTTGCCATCATGATCATGGTCTAATAGTTGGGGAAATAGCTCACTGGGTAAGAGCACTTGCTGTGCAAGCATGAAGGCTTGAGTGCAGATTCCTAGCAATCCTGTCAGAGGCCTGCACATGTGCCTGTAATGCCAGCACTTTGGGAGGTGGATCCAGGAGGATCACTGAAGACTCAGGCCTCCAGCCTAGCTCCACATTTATGAGAATCTCAAGGGGTTTAGGTGGAGAGTGACACAGCAGACACCTGAGCTGCTCCTCTGGCCTCTGTATGCGCGCGCGCGCGTGCACACACACACACACACACACACACACGACAATGGATGATACCCCTTGTGTGGACCTTGGGAAAACTCAATGGTGTGAATGCTGGTAAAAGAAGTGTGAAAAGGGCTGGTGGTACCTTAGAATTATGACAGTTTTGATCTGTTAGTTTACTCCTTCCCCAGGGATCTTCCACTGCCTCAGCTACATCAAGGGATTGGGGTGGGAGTCTCCTCATGGTCCCTCTGCAGTGAAGGCTGCTAGTGGGACTGCAGCTAAGACTGTCAGGTTTTGTAGTCCTGTTTTTGAACACTGAGGTCATTTGTTACTATTTACTCTCATGGTTGAAGGAGGACATCCTGCTTGTCTGAAGCAAATGAGCATGGGCAGACCGGGAGAACATTTTCTGTCCTGTCGGATGGAGTCCGTGACCCCATCTCTGCCTGGTTTCTCTTTTAATATGTTGCTCTATTGCTTTCCCATCGCCTCTCACCTGACCTTGCCCCTGGCTGTGAGTCCTGTGTTGCTGAAGCTGTGCTGGCTCCCTGAAGACAGCCCTCTGCAAATAGTAGTGTGTGCTTTAAGTGAGTGGGCTGTACATGGCCAGCAGAAACAGAAGAGAGTTGTCCTTTTGATGACGTGACAGACGCAAGGCAGCTGCTGTGAGCCGACAGTATTGTTAGGCTGTTTCTTTAAATCCTCACTATCCTTCAGCCAGGAAGCTACGGGTCAAGATTTAGAAATAAGTGTAACATGTTCTGTCTTTGACCACACTGGTGTGCAGTGGACATCCTTACACTTCATAGTGTGTAATGAACTGCTTGTATTCATGGTAGGCTGGGAGCTCAGACACTGGACTGGTTTTTTTGTTTGTTGTATTCTCTGTACCTAGGCCAGTGACTGGCACCTGTTTAGGTCTGGTGAATGCTTGTTGGCACACTGCTTATGGTCACACCTAGGCCAATCTTTCCTGAGTCCAGGTATTTCTCATTGTGTCTCATTACCCATGTAGCATTGTGTCTAGTAGGACTTTTGTGATGTACTTACAGTTTGCTTCTCTGCTGATTCATTTGAATCATATTCTGATCTTCTAAATCTTAAAAGCTTAGTGCTAATATCATATATTTCAAAGAATTGCAGAATTGGACTGAGGAGCACTCTGTTGCTAGTGCTGTCTAAGCCTTGGTTGTTCTGTCTGCTTGTTGGTTACGTATTTAATGGTACCAAGGTTGGACACCAGGACGTTGCACCTAATGGCAAGCTGTCCACTACTGGCTTATGCCCCAACTTTTGTTTTGTCAGACAAGGTCTCCAAGTGTGGCTGAGGCTGCTCTTGAACTCACTGTATCGTCAAAGTGGTCTTGAACTTGAACATCAAAGTGATCCTCCTGGACTGGGATTGCAGGCACCTCCCAGTACATCTAATGGGTTTTTTACTTTATTTTTGAGGCAAAGTCTAACTATGCAGCCCTGGCTGGTTTGGAGCTCACTATGTAGATCAAACTGGTCTGAGCTCACCAAGATCCATCTGTCTCTGCCTCCTGAGTGTTGAGATTAAAGGGGTGTGTCACGATCCTGGGCTGGTGTTTATTTTTTTAGATCATTCCAAGTGACAAAGAAATCTATTCCATCTTTTGGCAATTCTGATTCTTAAGATTCCCAAAAATAACGAAGAATTTCATTAGATTTTTCATATGAGAGGGTATGTGTCTCCTTGATGTCTTGGTTACTCCCCAGGATTAGTTTCTCTGTCCCTTGAAGTACAGCTCTTCTATAACAGATGTCACAAAGCTTCTGGGTCATCTAGTCAGCATCAAGACTTTCTCCTGTCCTCTTTTAAGCAGACTCAAGTCACAGTAATTCTTGTGGTAGCGCTGCCTTTGTTCTTCCCTGACAGGCAGCTGAGGTAGTTTCTGTGGTCACCAGTGAGGGAGCCATGTGCTGGAGACCAGCGGTGAGTATGAAATAGATGGCCCTGGCGAGCCTTCTCGTGATTGGCATTGCATCATCAAGTCCCCTCTACTCTTAACGCTCTTTTGAGACTCCCTGACCCACTGCACACATTGATGCTTGAAATCAGTGCGGTTTTCTTTTCCTTTTGCAGTATAGAACCTAGGGCCCTCTGTATGCCAGGCAAGTGTTCTGCCCCCGGACTTACACTCCCAGCCTTGCACAGCCCTTCACATTCACAATTCTGAATGGTCTAAAAACATTATCTATTTGTAAGCACAGAAGACGGAGCCTTTTAAAAGTGATATTGGGAAATCTTGATAAAATAATTATAGAACTTGCTTTGAATAATAAACAGGTAAGAGTAGGCAAGAAAGCTTAACAGAGAGAGAATAACAAGGGCATGTTTCGTAACAGCAGACGAAAACTGTAGCAGTGTGGGAATGTGGAGGCTCCAGAGTTTGTAAACAGATCAGTGAGAGCGCGGACAGCTAGAAACAGATGGAAATCTGCATCCTAGTTTAGTGAGTGATGGGTGACATTTCTTCAGTTGGGAGCGAAAGGGTAGATCGTGGAGTTGTGGCAGCTGGCCAAACATTCATAGAAAATAAAGTTGACCTTGCCCCATAGCATGTTAAGATAAATTTCATAAGACATAAAGTATCTGGTTTTCCCATAGAAAAGCTTCACTCATATACATGTGAAATGGAGTTGGCAAAGTCAGAGGTGCAACTACCTGGGTTTTTTGAAAACTTTTATTTTCAATAAATAAATAAAAATAAAGACCAATATGTCCAAAAAGTATAGCACATAATTTTAGAGATACAGAGAACATTTTATAAATTGGTAGATAGGATGAGACCCTGGTTTTAAAAGACCCTGGTTTTTAAAATGGGTAATGGATGAATGTAAATAGTAAACAGAAAAAGTTAACCTTTTTTTTTGTTTTAATTGGAAATGCAAAATTTCTGAAGCTTTCTTTGCTCTCTTGCCCTGGAGCAATTTTGATTAGCTACTACTGTTTGGGAAGAGGGGAAGAGAAAACAGCCTTTCAAACACGGTTGTTAGCTTTCTGACAGAGGTTATCAGAATCTGTGAAGTCATGCACGCTCCTGGATATGGCGCTTTCCTCCCTGGGAATTTACCCCACACATGGTGATTGTGGATGCATACAGCTACATGCCCTTTGTTACTGGGGGGGGGGTCAGGGTGCACACAGCTACATGCAGTTTGTTAGGGGCGGGGGAGTGGAAACTGTCTCAGTGTCTGAGAGAGGGGAATTCTTCAAATGCGTTACAGTATGCCAACACGAGTGTGTTTACTATGCAACTGTTTAAAATTGATGATTTACAACGGGAATTTCAGATAAACAGTCTCCCACGCACTCCGATTGATTGGCAGTCCCTTCTTGGAACACTGTCTTGAGAAGAACTCAGAAGCCAGGGCCAGGCTCAGCACCAGTGAGGCTGGTGTGATCAGGGAGGGGCTTCTTGGGAGGAGTTGGCTCACCCTGTTGTACGGAATGTGTAGCTGGTATTAACGGCAGCAGTAAAATGGAGCGTAGACCAGAGATTTGCTTTGTGGGTGAAAGGCTAAGAATTGAGAAAAATGACCCAAACCCACTGGAATATCATCAGTGGTTATCTCTGGCTCAGAGGATACGGATGACTTTTGTGTACTTTTAAATAGCTTCCCTTTCTTTTTCCAGTTTTCTGTGAAAAGTAATATTTTATAGTTATAAAATATATATGTAAGTGTTTAAAAATAATGACAGGAGAAACAATGGCAAGGGTATTAACTATGAGTATTTAACAAAATATATTCTAGGTTTTGTTCCTTATGAATTCTTGATTCCAGTGGCTGATTAGCCTTCAGCATCTAGAAAATGAGAAATCCTTCGTGGCTCCCACAGGCCTTACTTAATGTCTCTCTCTCCCTCCTCCTCTCCCTCCCTCCCCCACCCTTCTTTCTTTTCTTTTCCTTTTTTTTCTTTTTGTGGCCTCCACTTAATGAGATGGGCATCTGTGGACATAGGAGACAAAAGCTAGAGTTCCTGGCTGTCCAAAGTGTATGTTCTAGAAGGAGAAGCTGGACTTAGAGTCATGTTAGTGGCTCAGCACGGGAACAGTAGGCACAGACAGGTTTTCTCCTTAGGAGTGTGACACTGCGGAGTGGCCTGTGTGTTTTGACTCTTCTTCCACAGCACCCTGTGGAAGGTGCCATTACTGTCCCACTTTTACAAATGAGGAAACCAACACATAGAGACACCAGGAAAGCAACTGAGCCAGGTGCAGCCCAGCCCACTGGGTCCTGAAGCCTGTGTTGCCGTGTGTCCTCTCAGTCACTTTGGGTCGGGTACTGTTCAGTGGCTGGACTTGCCTTAGCTCATTTGCTTCTGAGAGCAAACCTTCCTGACTTGTTCATCCAGACACTCCTTAATCATCGGGCACTGTGGAGGGCATGCAGAGGGCGTGGAAAGTAGTCCTGTTTCCTGTGTCGGGGGTGGACTTGTGAGCGACAGGGGGCAGCGATTGCAGCATCAGAGATTAGATCAGCCTGACCTGTGGTGTCTCATCTTGCCAGAGGTGGCTGCTGGGGAAGCTGCAGTGCCTGTTTCGTCTTTGTGTGGGTGAGGAGAATAATTTGCTCTTGATCTGTAGGGGAGTAAGAGAAACCTTCTTTGGATTGGGACATAGTCAGTCCAGGGCCCCAGAGTAGATTGCACCCCAAGGGGTAATGGTAGCTAATCCGTAGGACTAGAGGGCAGATCCTTTATTGCTACAGAATGCTTTGAGGGCATTAAGAGGCAGCCATGGCTGTAGGAGTAAGGGGACCCCTGTAATGAGATCTGAATCCAAGATTGATTCTTGTAATGAGGAAATCGATTTCCCAAGGAAACTGTGACAGTATGATGTCTGGATGAGTGGACTTCTTGGTTGGTCTGTTGTAGACATTTTGACAGATTGTGTCAGTCTAGATTGTGTTTCTGTTTGCTCTCGCATACGAGAGTACCCCTTGCCTTTCAGTGACCGTGTCCTGTTCTTCCCTCCTAGGTTCATGGAATCTGAGCTGGACCTCAATGACATCATTCAGGAGATGCACGTGGTGGCCACCATGCCAGACCTGTACCACCTTCTCGTGGAGCTGAGTGCTGTGCAGTCACTTCTCGGCCTCCTGGGACATGATAATACAGATATCCTTCAGATCTGTGCGGGCGGAAGGCTGACACGGGAAGAGCTGTTTACTCTCTACGCCTGTCTGTCTCTGCTGACGGGTGCTGTCACGTTTGCGATTCTGTTTCCATTCTGAAATACACACTGCTCTTTACTCACTTGAAAACCTGAGCTGGGTCTGTTAACAGGCCTTGAGCAGATTCTTAATTGTCCTGGTCTCTGTTAGTGCTCTACACACCGTTCATACACCAACAGCATTAATTTTCCACATCAGAACTTAGAAGCTCCTTATTGAGGCAAGACCAGACAGATTGGAAAGTGTTGATGTAGACATCATTCTACTAACAGATGGCTCTGTGGATTGAGGCTGGAGGAAGCAGTGAACCGTGGCAGAATGCTTGTCGGGCTGTCCAGAGGATAGGGAAGCTTGTCTGTTTTGTCCACTACTATTTTCTAGTTCCTTAAGAAAAGACTGAGTATCAGTGCCTAGCAAATAGTATTTCCTATTTGTTGAATGAACATTAGACCTAAACCAACAATGTGGACTTGATTCCTGGCCTCATTTTCTGTAAAATTTGGTATTTACACCCGTAAAACTAGAGTTGACAACCTTGTCCCTTAGTGCTACCGAGGAAATCAGAGACGTTAAACTTGTCACGTAGAACTCCTGGCGCCTGCTAGGTACTTAGGAATGTTCTGTGTCGCGACTTCCAAACCTTTTCATCCTTTGCCCGCTGCCCTGTGTGCAGTCGCTGCAGTGCAGTGTTTTATGTGCTGGGCATGGGGTTATAGTCGTTAAATGGATTCCAGTTCTGGTTGAGTCCAGATTTCCACAGGTAAGAGTTAAACGTAGTGAGTCTGTTTGAGTGTTCGTCACAGGAAATCTGCCCCTGCATCATGTCATTCTCATCTTTTTGGTAATCTCTTTCCTGAGAGCATGTCTGACTAGGCTCTTTCCCGACTGATAATTCTCACAGAAATAAATCAGTGAATAATTTTAATGTGTCTTCTTGAAGGGCAGACAGTCTTAAGCTGTTTCTGTTGCTCTGTATACTGTTATTGTTAAGAATGACTACACCCATCCCTGGATTGACAACTGCCTGGGTTTTCTGTGGGATTCTGGGCCAGCTGATTTCCGAGTGAGTTTTCCCACAGGTTCATTGAGAGGCACATATGAGTGCCTGCTAGGTGCCAAGCTCAGTGTTGGGCCCTTGGCGCCGTCTGTCCTGCAGGTGCTCAGGCAGCATTAATTCATAAGCATGTCAAGGGCAGTATCTTAGGCACCATGGGCTGTTCTTACAAAGTACCATAGATCAAGTGACTCAGAAATGATATAAAGTGGTTTGCTGTAGTTCTGATGTTGAGTAGTCCAACATCTGGCAGTTTTGGAATCTGGTAATTTGGGTTTCTGGTTCCAAGTAGCTGTTTTCTTGTTGTGTCCTCTGATGTAAGGGGGTGAAGAGCTTGCTGAGTCTCTTTATGAGGACACTGATCCTCCCCTCTTCACTTCCCAAAGTCCCTGCCTCTGAGGATCATCACACTGGAAATTAGGTTTCAACATAGGAATTTGGGGGTGGGGATATGAACATTTGTTCTGACTGTCACAGGTATTTGATACAAGACTGGCCCACTCCAGGGGAAATTCAGCGACAGCGCAGTCTGGCTGTAATTTCATTCTGTGGTTCACATACTAACTAGTACATTGCAAAGTCCTCCCAGACGGAGCCTACTGCTTTGTTTGATTCATTGTCCCTTTTATTGTTTTTATTTGTGTGTGTGATGGGCCAGGGTCCAGGGCATGTGTGGAGGTCAGCAGACAACCTCAGGTGTAGTGCTCAGGAACCTTTCTGCAGTTTGGGAACCTTTGGTTCACCAAAAGGCCAGGCTCAGTGGCCTGCAAGTTTTTAGAGATCTCTCTCTCTCTCCACCTTCCATCTTGCTTATTAGGATTACAGGGGCACCCAACTGCACCCAGTTTTTTGGTGTGGGTTCTGGAGATTGAACTCTGGTCTTTATGCTTACAAGGCAGCATATGAGCTGGCTGTTGGGCAGCTAACTGGTGGTCAAGGCTGGTACTGCGCGTCCCTGGCCCCTGTATGTCCTGTAGCATACCTGCTCTCTGTCTCCCCAGTGGCATTCCCTGTGCCCTTGACAGAGTTGCGTAGTCACCTGCCACTCTGCATATTAAGACGGAGAGATTTCCTATTTTGTTTCTGGAAACTCTGGCGCTCATTCTTTCTTCCCTTCCTGCTAATTCAGAACAATAGCAGCAGTGCTGCAAGCCGCTGACATTTCTGATTCACTGGCCCAGTCCTGCCGGGGAGAAGACTGACATGAGCCGCACTGTTCGACATCCGCGTTCTTGGGAAAGGCAAGGGCACAGATGTTCAAGTTGGTGCGTTCTGGTCTTTAAAAAGGGAAAAACCATATCTCCCTATAATGTTTTTTACAGAACTGCCATTTCCCTCCTGTTTCCCCAGAGCCCAGCCATTCTTCCCCCTCCTTTCTGCCAGCCCTTACCCAACTGCCCTAATGGTATTTTTTTAAATCTGATTTTTAATTATGCCCTACATCACATTTAAAGTGCATTTGAAATATTTTTAATTACCTTAATTTTAATTAGATGCAGCAATTAGGGTAAATGTCATCCTCTTCAAAGTACGAGTTTTCTCGAAAGTGATTTCGGGAAAGGGGAGCCCTTGCAACTTGCAGCTATCATACCTACTGCATTGGAGGGTGATCTCCCCCAATGCCACACCCGCCTCTTGTCTTATCTGTGATCTGTAATGGAAATTCTTCAAGAAACGGTTGTTAGCAATTTATTGTTGTACAGCTGTAACTGCCCACAACACCTTACCATGAATAAACAATTTCATGGCTGTCATGACTTCAATTTTTAATCTTTTTTTAACTCTTCATTTATCACCCAGGACCATACATGGCTGGTTGTGTTCCCAGCAAGCACAGGTCATCTTTGCTTTGTCCTTCTCAGAGGAAACATAAATGATGGGGATTTTAATTGGATCTGAGTCTGGTTTGTTGTAACCTTAAGAGGCAGCGGATGTGAGGCAACAGCTTGTGCCTCGTCCTTCAGGCCTTTCAAGCGTGAGGAGCTGCTGCAGGGTTGGTCCCAGCTTTCTGCACCACTGCCGCTGGCGAGGGCTTGTCAGCTGTCTGTGCTGTCCCCCCAGAGGCTGGAGCCCAGCCGCGGCTGCGGAACTCTGGTCTGTGAGGAGAGAGGGAGGGGACCCACCTTACAGGGCATGAAGTGTTCCTTTAAATGTGTTTAGAGGAAGCTTGAGGTGGCACCAAACAGCTGCTGCTCTTCAAATATTGTGCTTTAAAATCATTTCCTATAGCATAAATTATTTGAACATGTTCAGAGTACCAGCACCCTTCCCTGACACCCCCCCCTAAAAAAAACCAAAGGTGTGAAAGATAGTTTTCTCAGGTATTACTAAACAACAGTTTGGTTATGGCCTAGTGAAAGCCAGATTTTCCCAATTTGCCTGAAAGAATAAAGAGAATTAAGACAATAAGAAGGTAAAATAGTAAAATCACAGATGGTAGCTGGTCACCCCCTTCTGCTACAATTTTTTTAAATTAATTTATTTATTTATTGAAGATTTCTGTCTCTTCCCCGCCACTGCCTCCCATTTCCCTCCCCCTCCCCCAGACAAGTCCCCCTCCCTCGTCAGCCCAAAGATCACTCAGGGTCCCTGCCCTGTGGGAAGTCCAAGGACCACCCACCTCCATCCAGGTCTAGTAAGGTGAGCATCCAAACTGCCTAGGCTCCCACAAAGCCAGTACGTGCAGTAGGATCAAAAACCCATAAGAAGGTAAAATAGTAAAATCACAGATGGTAGCTGGTCGTCCCCCTCTGCTACAAATTTAAAAAAAAAAAAAAATCGCCCTGGCAGCAAATTTGTAAGTGTCCTGATATTGTGTCATTTGCCGTGTTTGTCAGGGTGGCCTCGCTGAACTCTCTTGTGGTAGATTTGGCTCAGGTTCTTGTGTTGTGTGATAAGCCCATTATACACACTGGGAAGAGGAGACAGCCCTGGTGGCGAAGCATACAGATAACTGCCTGGTGCTGAGGGGGGCGGGCGCCTTTGGAGCCAGATGCTCAGGAAATGCCCTGGGAGCTCTGAGGAGGGGGGGGGGGCATCATCGCTGGCTTGGGACCAGTCAGGAACCGGGGCTCACAGATTGGAAGCCTCCATGGATGGGGGCGTTTCTGGTCATTTTCAGTGATTTCTACCTGGACAGTGGAAGCTGCTATTCTTACCGTGCTGCTTGCTGGCCCGTACTCATCACAGACGTGCCGGGATACCAGGGCCATAGATTCTTTATTTAGAAAGAAGGGAGGGAGGCAGCTGTGCCTCTTGTTCTGCAGCAAAGCTCCCTTTCCGTTAATAAAAAGCATCAGGCCATTTAAACTGAATTTATTCCTTCTGCCCCCTCCTCTGCTCTTGTGATTCAGAAAAAAAAAAAAAAGAGATCTCATTGTGACATTAACTGGATGTGCAGGAAGGGAAAGACTTGTTAGTGTTTTCCTGGCGGCCATGGGACAGCTCCTCTCTGCAGGCCAGCTTTAGGGAGTGGTGCTTTCTAAATTAGTATTTGCTCAGACTTTAGCAAGCCAGAGAACTTATGGAGTTGCCCTTACTGTTTTGTGAAGAATTACTGTGGGAATCTGGAAAAGGAGTAGACTTGTTTTTCTTAGACCAGCGGGGATCAATTGAACTTGAGCAGTTTGGTCTGGGAATGCTAAAGTGGAACCAACTGCCTGAGAAGCTGTATTATCCCAGAGGGTGTACTCTGTGGTCTAGGGTGCCTTGTGTTATAGACCCAGCATTAGTGAGCCAGAATAGGGCTGGGAAGGTTGGAGCCGCCAAGGGGCTTTTTTCTAATTGGACTGGGAGGGAGCCGGTTCCTGTCCGCTGCTCTCCTTCAAGGCTGTCTAACAAGACGTACACATCTTAGCTGTTGTTCTCCTCAGAGCTAGTCTCATTCTGACAT